ACTCAACAAAGGAAGAAGATTTGGTGAAGTTTTTTATCCGATTGGCATGACCAGTGCGCGAGTGTAAATTCTGATCGCAAGAGGACAAAGAGAACCAATTTTTTACGAAGGCAGTATGATAACGAACCCAACCATGGCACAGCTCTAATCATGTTTTCTCTTTCATGATTGCAATCTTGTACAGAAAAATAATTCACATGGAGCTAAATCTTCCAACGAAGATATAGCACCATACTTTTGTCAGTCTTCTTTCTGAACATGATGTTTGTAAATCCAGAAACAGGAAACAAATAAATAATATATTTCTAGAGTACAACGGTGAAAAAAATCACAGCCATATTTATCACTTGACCTTGAAAATTTTCCTTACAGAGCTAACCGTGAATTAATTATTAAGAGGAAAAAGAAAAGCTCAGGCAGCGGCTTAATACAGTTGATAGGCTGGCCATCACAGCATTTCAAGTGAGAAAATATGTGTGCTCAAAGCCTCAAACTCCGTGCTATCACTGCACAACAAAACTACGCTGATACCTCATTGATATGTTGGTTGAGGCTCTTTCCAGGTGGTATGAAGATTAAGTCATCCCAACCAGAATTTCTGTCATTAATCTGTAGAATCAAGAGTTTTAGGATGTTAGTAGTCAAGTAAGGTACAGGCAGTCCTGAGTGTATCTTATGTTTCTGTCACCATCCTACCTCCATTTTCTTCAAGACATCCTCCAAACTACCAACCTGAAGAAACCAGAAGGCCAAGTTTCATGAGAGCTTAGGACAGCAATAAGAAACATAAAAAATCACATACCATAATTTGCTTAGATAAGGCTGATCCTTTCGAAGATTTAGACGCCTTTCTAAGCTCTCTTTCTATGTCCTCCTGAACCAGGAAGGAAGTTGTTAAGACTTAACCAGACTGGGTAAGGTAGGTGAAAGGAAATGGAGCCTGACAAACCTTTTGAAAGTATACTGGACAATAGCGCTTCTTCTGTTTCTTAACGACCAATAGATCTGACTGCACATGCAAATCAGGTATTTTCATCATAGCAAAGGGCAGTTCATCCAATGTATGTTGTTCCAAAGAAAGTTTGGACTTAGGATACAAAGCTATAAGTATCAAGACCAGATAATAGGGGGAAAGAGGTTGGTCACATGGGGGTGGGAAGGTGATGTCTTGCTAACAAACAAATATGCACACAAAAAAGCTTTTTTTTAATCTTCGGTTTTGGCTGAGCACCGACAATTTAAGACGTACAGCATTACAAGATGAGGCACCCTGGTGATACTGGGAGGTCATGAAAGGACCAGTATGGGCAAGTACTAATGGGGGCAGGACAGGTGAACAGCTTAAATGACGCGGCCTCTATACAATGTCCATTGTACATTGTATAGAAGCTGCGTCAATTAATTCGGATCGGAGGGAATATGTTATTCTGTTAGAAGTTAACGTATTAATCAACAAATCAACCAGTCCATATGCTAATAGATCCATTGCCGTTATTGATCAACAGATCTATAAAATTTGTTAATTGTCAACTGCAGAGGTATAGTTCACTCTTACCAGGAGTGTTATTGATCAACTGATGTAGGGTTCCAAACAGAGTGTTAATTTCTTTTCTGAATTCCTGATCTTGGGGAAAGATAGAAGTGAAATTTTACCGTTGGTCTGTGGAGGGATTTTTTTCTCCTCTCACCTTACCTAAACATGTTGCTTAACTTTTCCTAAAATATATTCAGGTGGGGAGTCTTTCCCGCCCGGTGACAGTTAAAAAAAACATTTTACCATTGGCATGCTGGTGGTAATTAACAAGAGAGTTTTAGAAACCAAAACTGTCCCAAAAAAGCAACAAGCCGTTTGTGGAACCCTGGTTTGAAATGCATGTAACTGAACTTAACACATTGAAAGAGATCCCATAATGTCCAACTGTCAATGAGCATCTAAAATCTATCTGCTTTTGACAAGAATATATTTCTTAGTAGAGCAATGCAACCATGAATTACCTGAAAAACGGGGACACCATCGAAACCAGTTAAGCCAGATTTCAACTGAAAAGCCAAAGAGTAATAGTCATCATTAGGCTGAAAAAAAAATCATTCGCATTGCTTATATTAGATGCAGAAGACTACAGTAACCCACATATACTATTGTTTAAGACATCAAACTTTATATAGTCATCAGCAACAAAGTACAGACCAACAGACAAGAGTACACAAAGAAAGGCCTTTAGATGCTCATTTTATTTGAACCAATCCAGCCCATAAAAAAAAGGGAAATATTTGCATAGACTACATTGAAAATAACACCAACCATGCAAAGTCAGGTGATGTTCCAACCATATAGGGCTAAGTGGCAGATCTCCAAAAATTAATTCATGTGCCACTGCAATAGGCCTCTAACTTTTCCTTGCTCAAATTAAGTGTTCCTTGGAACATATGTTGTCTTTGAAGATGGAAAATATATGCTGTCTGACAAATATGAATAATGAAGATGCATTCTAAGGATTCAAAAACACATCTTGATAATACACTGGACTGATCGGTGCTATCTAACCCTTATACGCCTGATGCAGAAAAAGAAGTCAATATTTAAAACTTTGAGTGGTGACAAATAACGCAATACTGGGCAACATGCTACCCCTAGGTCATATGGATGTTTTTGGTGAAAAGTCAAAACCATGGTGACAGATTAAGTTAGTACAAATGGCAGTCCAGTGGAATCTTTTAACTTGTACTTGCTGCATTACTGCTTTGAAGAGCAATTTAGTTACATAATGAATTTGACTATACTTATTTGTAAGAGACAGAAAAGGGTGGGGGTGCTTAAACATGGTACACATTTAGATAAGATAATAGAATAATAAGAAATAGTTTCATCAAGAATCAAACCTGCAGTGCATTCTTTATTTGAAGTGGGTCAGGTAAGAAGCGGAATGCAATACCTTCGGCCTTCAACATATAAACCTGCGTTCGAAGGGCAGCATAAGAAATATTTACATTCCAAAACATCAAACAATATCAGTATGGTTCAAGATATACAATTACACAAATTCACTTAATTAGAGGTTCATTATCTGCACAAGTCACTTGCAGTTGTGGTAAGGCACAAAAAAGTATGCTCATCCACTTAACTAGTAGTTCACTTGCACACTGTGCTTCGCCCTTCAAACTGTGGCAACTGGCAAGGTAGGGTTGGTGTGGGTTCGCAGACCCACGCAACTTGCATCCGTGGATGGAGTAGAATGAGAAGTTGTATCAGGGCTAGCCTAATGAGACAAACCTAAGCTAGACTAGATAAATTGGCGACAGTGTGACCTATGAGAAACGATTCCTTTCCTCACAGTACCTCCTTCTAAGGAATCTAGTTCATATTGCCAGTGGTTGAGATGTCATTGAGTTCCTAATTTTGTATTGTATTGTATCACTTCCGTATTTCTGCCACAGCATAAACTCGCTACTTAAGTCAGCATAAACCTCAATTCCCCATAAATTCTCTTGCAGGATTGCTCCAACAATCATGACTCGGAAAAAGGATTGCTCCTGGCGTGATCCATCACATGAGATACCAATTTAAGCTCACCTGATCTAGCGTAATTGGCACCACTTTGGCCCCCTTCCCTAACACCGGCTGCCGCGTCCTCACCTGCACCACGCAACCTCCAGAACCATCAGTAAAAAGCATAAAAACCAGGAGTCAAAACCAGCGGGTGTCGAGAGAAGGGCGCGGAGGGGAGGGGGTACATGGGAGAGGAGGGCGTCGGCGTCCTCGGAGCGGAAGCAGAGGAGGCCGAGGGAGCGGAGGCCGGTGGCGGGGTCGGAGACGAGCACGAACTCGTTGCTGGAGTTGCAGACGGTGAAGACGGGCGTGCCGGTGAGCGCGCGCGCGACCTCGTCGGGCCCGAGCGCGAGGGGCTGGGCGGCGGCGCCGTGGGGCCCCGGCGGGCGCGCCGCGGCGTGCGCGGGGCGCGGGGCCGCGAAGCGCGAGGCGAGGCTGGAGAGGTGGTGGT